TGCTGGTGCCTCTGAGTGGGTTCTGGGAAAATCAGAAGAATTTGGAGACTGCTGCTGACTGACTGCTACCTCCAGGTTGAAGGGCATTGCTGGTCTGACACTGATAGAAACTGCAAGCAAGCAAATAAACAGGAAGGAGCAAGTTCATTCTCCCCTCTAACTTAGTGCCTCTCTATTGGCAGAACTAAATAGTAAGCAAGTGGCAAAGGAGAAATATTTGCAGACTCTGAATCCTGCATCACAGAAGCTAATCATAGAATTTTGTGTTTGAGTGGAGAGACAATAGCTTAAAAATTAGTATGGAAGTTAAATTTGGGTCCTAGGTGTACTGATTGCTATTGTGTTGTCATTGCTTCTAGACCTTTTAATTGGACAGTTATAAACTAAGTATTTTTAAACAAAAATGAGTTCATATTTACATTAAATTTAACATTATAGGTTATTTTTACTTTTTTGTATTACTTTTCCTATTATATGGAAAATCTGATTTCCTAACAATATTAAGATAATTACAAATACTTGCAATAATAATCCTACAATAATATGTAAAATAAGTTCAAAATAAAGCCAGGTTCCAGTTCTGGCATGACAGTGTGAGGAGCTCCGTGGACCCAGTCTCCAGTAAAACTGGTGAAAATTATTTTTAAAAAATAACCAATTAAGTCTGTGGAAGTGGTCCTAGGAGATATAGCAAATGAAGAAACATTTATTTTAGAAAATTTACTCAAACTCAGTGACAACAGTGAGACTCTGTACTATTTGAACCAAGACCTACTCCATCCCTACCCCTCCCAGCTCAGTGAGACAAACTCCATTCCAGACTGGTGCAGCAAGAAAATGGCTTCTTCCCCCAGATTCCAGTCAGAGGGTTACCATCCTGGGAGAGACAGCTCACCAACGTTTCTCATCTTGCTTCCAGCTACTGTTGCCGAGGTCAAGATCCACGCAAGTGTGGCCAGGTTGTAGTGGTTCCCTTCCTTTGCCTCAGCTCTACTTGTGAGATGGAGGCTTTACCTTGGGCAGGGCACTGCTGAAAATACTGGGGTCTGATTACCCTTACTCTGGATTGAGAAGGCCCGAGGCTACTGCCTTTCCTTTCTACCCCAGGTGCTCAGCTCTTAAAGTAGGGGTGTTTCTCAGAGAACCATGCTGTTGTCCCCAGCCCAGCTCAGATATTTTATCTGGAGGCAGAAGCAGGCTGTGAAACAGGTGGCTCCTGATCTTTTCCCAAAGGAACTGTATTTGCAGCAGAGGGCAGGGAAGCTGAAACCTAAGGATGTTCTCAAAAACGAGGTTGTTGTGAAAGGTAGTTGGGAAGAAATTGTTAGATTCTTTGGAGAAATAGACTCAACTGTAGGCCAGCTGATTGGGTTGTCGGAAAAGTCATGACGCATGTTTGTGACTAGTTCATTTTTGGAAGTACTAGAGTCATTTGCATCTATGTTATTGCTATGCCATTGGACAGCTGGCAGTTCTGGCTTCATTGTAAAAAAAAATTGAGCGATTTAGTTGAGTTTTGAAGATTTTACAATAAGTTGAAGATGGAAGACCAAGCTGTGCATTTTTGCCATATTTTCCTGTTTTACTTCCATAAAGGGAAGAACGCGCATCAAGCTTGTGAAAAGTTGCATAAAGTTTTCGGTGACAATGCCCTACAAGAACGTCAGTGCCAATGATGGTTCACAAAATTCCGTCCTGGTGATTTTGATCTCAATGATTATCCTTGGTCAGGAAGGCCCACCAAGGTTGATGACAACAAAATAAAGGCATTGATCGAGTCAAACCCACGTTACATGACATGAGAGATTGCAGAAACATTGAACATCCATCATTCAAGTGTTCATGACCACCTGAAGAAGCTGAGATACGTAAGCAAGCTCGATGTTTGGGTTCCGCATGAACTCAAAGTTCATTTGACGCTGCGGATAAATATCTGCAATATGCTCATTAAACATTAGGAAAACGAACCTTTTTTGAAGCGACTGATAACTGGTGATGAGAAGTGGATTCTTTACAACAATGTGATGCGCAAATGGTCTTGGTCCTGATGTGATGATTTGCCTCAAACTACATCGAAAGCAGACATTCATCAGAGGAAGGTTATGCTCCCAGTGTGGTGGGATTTTAAAGGTGTCATGTTTTTCGAGCTCCTACCAAGGAACCAAACAATCAATTTGAATGTGTGCTGTCGGCAGTTGGACAGTTTGAACGAATCCATCATCCAGAAATGTCCAGAGCTCGTTAATTGTAAAGGAGTTGTGTTCCATTGTGACAATGCAAGACCACACACAAGTTTGATCACCCATCAAAAATTATTGGAGCTTGGATGGGATGTGTTGCCACACCCACCATACTCGCCTGACCTTGTGCTATCAGACTTCCACTTGTTTCGCTCTCTTCANTTGGCAGCTCAGCGGCTGCTCAGCTCGGGCTGGACTCGAACCGCTGTTGCTCAGAGCTCAAACTCTTGAGCGAGCTCTTAACCAACTGATCCACTTGGCCGGCTCCTTGGTTTCCTTAGTTTTTACCTAACATCCTTTTCCTCTTCCAAGATCCCATTCAGGATAGCACATGGCATTTAGTCATCATATCTCCTTAGGAGCCTCTTGGCTGTGACTCTTTCTCAGACTTTTCTTATTTTTGATGACGTTTACAGTCCTGAGAAGTACTGATGAGATATTTTGTAGGATGCCCCTGAACTGGGATTTGTCTGATGTTTTTCTCATATGTACACTGGGACTATGAGTTTTTAGGAGGAGGATCACAGAGGTAAGTGCCCTTCTCATCATATGTCAAATGGATATACTATCAACATAACTTACACTGTTGATGTTAACCTTAATCACCTGGCTAACGCTGTGTTTGTCAGGTTTCTCTACTATGGAGTTGCTCTTTTTCCCCATTTTTCAATATTGTACTCTTTGGAAGAAAGTCACTATAGGTAGTTTCACGCCTAAGTAGTGGGAAGTTATCCTCCACCTCCTTGAGAGTGTATATCTACCTAAATTATTTGGAATTTTCTTGCAAGGGAGATTTGTTTATTCTCTCTCAATAGTTTAATCGATCAAATCAGTATGGACTCATAGATTTTTATTTTATACTTTTGTTATGACCCAATACTACCTTATTTATTTTGTTGCTCAAATTGTCTTGCTTTGGCCATTGGGAGCTCTTTCAGTTGTGTCTTTTTGACATACTCCCATCATTGTGTGGCTTCTTTTTTCTCTCTTACTTTCTGGCACTACAAGATTCTCCAGGCTCATCTTGTATATTTCCTGTTCTAGTCCTAGAATCAGTTATTTCTCCAAGAAGCCCTGGTTCCTCTTATTGAAGAATGGTATTGAAGCCAAATTTGGGCTCCATTGTTTGTCTTTTCACTGTTGTATTTTAAGAATTCTTTCTTAAGTATCTTTTCTAGATACTAGTTCTTTGTTGGATATGTGGTTTGTAACTATTTTATCCTAGTCGTTAGCTTATCTTTTCATCCTCTTAACAGCCTTTTACACAGCAAGTTCTAAATTTGATGAAATCCTATTTCTTTGTTTTTACTTTTTTTAATAAATTTTATTAGGGAACAGTGTGTTTTTCCTGGACCCATTCAGCTCCAAGTCAAGTCATTGTCTTCGTCAGTCTAGTTGTGGAGGGCACAGCTCACTGGCCCATGTGGGAATTGAACCAGCAACCCTGGTATTATGAGCACTGCATTCTAACCAACTGAGTCAACTGGCTGCCTTGTTTTTCCTTTTAAGGGTTGTACTTGATGTCAGATCTCTAAGAACTCCTTGCTTACCCTCAGTTCCTAAAGATTTTCTTCTGGTTTTTTTTTCCCTAAAAGTGTTATATTTTCATTTGCATTTGCTACATTTACATTTACTCAATCTGACAACCCTAGCCAAGAGGAAATTAAGGCTTGATGGAAACCTACCTCTATGGGCTAGAGGAGAGCACCTTACTGCATAGCTTAAGCTGAAGTTATCTGGTATTCAGTTCTCAAAACAAACAGCCCTCTGGGCCGGCCGAGTGGCTCAGCTAGTTAAGAGCTTGCTTGGGAGCACCAGCTCTGAGCAGCAGGGCTGCGGTTTGGATCCCACATTGAGGGCCAGTGATGCTNACACCCACCATACTCGCCTGACCTTGTGCTATCAGACTTCCACTTGTTTCGCTCTCTTCAAAACTCCTTGTGTGGTATAACGTTCAATTCAGATGAGGCTGTAAATGAGCACCTTGTTCAGTTTTTCACAAATAAAGACAGGTCCTTCTACGAACGAGGAATTATGAAGCTCACTGAAAGATGGCAAAAGGTTATTGAACAAAACGGGTAATATATCATTGATTGATCTTTGCTCTTTATATAAATAAATGATGTTTGAAAAACAGACAAAATACTTCATGACTTTTCCGAAGACCCAATATATCAGTTTCTGATAGGGAGTTAGTTGTAGGCTGCCAGCAGAAAGTTTAGCCATAACAGAGAGTAGAGGAATATGAAAAAGTAGTGTGGGGCCAGGCAAAGAAGTTGAGTATTGAAGATGTATGTATTTGAGGTAAAGTTTAGTAGTAACATTTTCAAGTTTCAAAGTTGTTGAAAAAAGTAAATACTACTTTGGGTAACAATGGCAAAAAACTATAATTGTGCTTCACTAATTAAATTAGTAGTGATGGGATTAGTGATTGGAGAGGGAGAGAGGAGTCTAGTGTCTCTGATTTTGCTAATCATCTTGATGTAGTAGAATTCCTTTGTATATTATTTGGCCTGGTAGCATTGTCACAACGCATAAGAACAGGCTTTTACTAGATAGTCAATAATTACTTTGTTTTAAGGCATATGACTTCCCATATAGCTGCAATTTAAAATGAGTGATTTTATAGCAGGTTCTATTGCTTTTATCTATTGCCTTATTTCTTTTTTGAAATATACACCTGACTCTACCAACTTTTCAGAATGATGTAAGAATGTTAGTAAAAGTGAATTTCTTTTCTTTCTTTCTTTTTTTTTTTAGGAACAGCCACCGTATCCTAGCTACAATTCTAACTACTGGAATTCCTCTGCCCGACCTAGGGCTCCTTACCCGAGTACATATCCTGTAAGACCGGAAATGCAAGGCCAGGTATGGTCTGAAATTGACAGAATTTCTGAATTTTTTTTTTAATGAATTGATTTACTTTTAGAGCCTACGGAAGTTTCATAGTAATGATGCGTGGATTTTTGTTATTTAGTGGACTCTATCTTTAAATCATCTTAATGTTTTTAGCTCAGCGATAAGGAAGTATCTAGGCAAATATTATACCTATACAAAGGTAGCTTGAGGCATAATAGCTTATTTCTCAGGACCTGGAAACAACAAATATAAAAATTTGATTTAAAAAAATATATAATTGACATATAACATTATATTAGTTTCAGGTGTACAGCTTAATAATTCAATATTTATATGTATTGCTAAATGATCACCATAATCAGTAGTTAACATCCATCACCACACATAGTTACAAACTTTTTTCTTGTGATGAGACCTTTTAATATTTACTTTCTTCACAACTTTGAAGTATACAATATTGTTAACTATAGTCACCATGCTGTACATTACATCTCCAGGACTTACTGTATTCCCCATGTATAAGACGCATCCTTTTTCAAAAAATTTGGGGTCTAAAAACTGGGTGAGTCTTATACAGTGGTTGTAGGTTTTTTTAACTTGCATTTCCTGCTTTTTCGCACTTGTTGTCTTTGCGCTCATTGTTTCGCACTTGTTACCAGTATATTACGGTAGGTTACGTTTTGCCATGCTCTGCCCAGAAATGGCTCAGAAAAGATTTTTGTACAGTGCTGAATTCAAGTTAAAAGTGATCCAGTTTGCAAAAGTGAATGGAAATCGTGCTGCTGAACATAAGTTTGGTCCTCCTCCAACTGAGAAAACAATCCGAGACTGGCTACGGGAAGAAG